GCATGACTTGTTTAGTAATATTCCATATTCTACTTTGAATATAGTCATCCACCTCATATCCTGCAATCCACTGCACATTATCACTCTCTAGATCCAAGCTGTCATCATAGAAATAATTAGCTGTTGAGAAAATAACAATAAACATGTTTAAAAGTGAAATCAATGTCGCCAAAATACAATACTGTATAAAAATACTATAAGGTTATTACAAAGTTCTCTCAAAGTATGCACGAAGACAGTACGGCGACAGTATCGACCGATGTGCAGCAGAGGTCGATGCGACAGCGTACTGTCTGAGTGCATACTTTGAGGTATTTTCTGATAACCTTATTATTATACATCTTTTTCCTTCAAGGATACATCATGGAAATGCCAAAATCCAAAAAGTTTAGAACAGAATCAGCGAACTTCTTTGTATGGAGTCCGGTCAAACCCTGGTGGCAGCCATGTTTGTTTTTATTATTAGAGGACGCTTATGCACGTAATCATCCCATATTTGTAATTCGCATTTCCTAATATGGTAGGATGAAAATACCCCGTAAAATACCGCAAAATTACGGCACGCTATAACTTATGGCGTTACAGTGACAGATGTATAATGATATACTATAATTAATGTCACCAAAATACTATACAATATAGTAATTTTGATATAATTACAGCAAATATGCTTATTATGAATATTAAAAATATTACATATTTATATAATTATTATTAAATAATTTGAAATCAGACATTACATCCATTCCGAGAAATCACTCAGTTACCAAGATTGCTCACAATTTTGAAAAACCCTTTGCTTTAACTGTTCTAAACTGGATGGCGCTGCTTGAAACGGGCACACTGTACATGACAACCATTTTCAAATTTGGAGTTCTTATTCAATAACTACCGATATTCTATATTTTGTGTTTATCTACACTGTAAGTAATTCAAAAACTTCAAAATAACCTATCCGTATACTCAAATGGGTGCTATTCATTTTGAAAAAAAAAAACTTTCCCCTCAAGTCTAGAATAATAATGGAATGATCTGAACCGTGTATCAATGCAACTACGCTGTGTAGTCTAGATTGGACAAAAATATTTTTGTTTTTTATTAAAAACATTTTTTATGTCATTGGTGTTAATTGGTGACAATTATCACCAAAATGTAGACACTGAAAGCATAGAATATACCCTTTATACCTTTTAGTGAGGGCTTCATGCTCACAATGTACATAAGAAAACACTACTAAGCATAAAGCCCCAAAAAAATTGTTTTTTTGCCTTCAGCGACCGACTGAAAAATATGAAATATTGGGTTGCGATTTTTTTTTTTTTTTTGTTTTTTAATAGACCCATTGATCTGTATTTCTCTGACATGTTCCGAATACTATGAAGTCTGAAGAGCAAACACGTCTTTTGCATTTCAGGCCATTTTGACATTTGCGATTCGACAGATAGTTGGTGCACAATAACAAGTTTTGAAACAAAATCCAACCAACCGACCCAATTTTTCAAATTTCCGACTTGAGAGCAACATAAGTTGTTTTTTTTTGGCCTAACCACATGCATAGAACCATTAAATTATGAGGTTTACATGTTGCAATCAAAGACTGTTGAAACCATGACGACTTGATCTTTAAATAGTCACATAATCATACAACAGTAAAAATAGAATTTGTAAGCAAGAGGGATTATACAGGAACCAGCATTTAAAGCTATAAGCATGAAGTAGTATAATCTGTTCTGGTGAAAGCAAATCTAGTGTCGATATATCTGTCTTTTCCTTACTGATCAATTTTAATTCATTGAATGACAAAATCTGGAGCAACGTTTTGTAAACTTTTAGGAAATTTTTTATGATATATCTGGGTTTTCCTTACTGATCAATTTTAATTCATTGAATGACAAAATTCGGAGTAACATTTTGTATAATTTTAGGACATATTCTATAATTTCTTTGTTAATTTTGGACCAAATAGATTTAATTTCCTATTGGCTACAGGTAAATTCAGTGGTTTTGAAAAAATATGATTAAAATTATTTGGATTTATTTTGTGCAAGGCGATAAGAGTTGACTTCAGTGCTCAAAGGGTTAAAGTGGCAATGTGGATAATGTATGAGCATTTTTGAACATATTAGAATAATTTGGTTCGATATGATGTTTTGAGAAAAATAGAATATGATTTATCATAAAAATAAAAATGTTGTTTGGAAGGCAATTAAGCAGTAGATGTGAAGACTGAAAACACTATAGTAACTATCAATGTATTATATTATTATACATCTGTCACCGTAATGCCATAGGTAACAGTGTGCCGTATTTTTGGGGTATTTTATGGGGTATTTTCATCCTACCATATAAGGAAATGCGAAGTCGAAATATGGAATGATTACGCGTGTAAGCGTCCTCTAATATTAAAAACATTCCATTTCAGCATTCCATTGATGTATCATTGGAAGGAAAAGATGTATAATAATAAGGTTAGTAGGAGGACACCTTAAAGCATGCACGAAGACAGTACAGCGGAAGTATAAACCGACACGCAGCGGAGGTCGATGCAAATTTGAAAGTGTACTGTGCATGCTTTTACTCTGCTTTTATTTTACTCATTATAATAAAAATGCAAATTCTAAGATGAAAGCAATCACATTGCATTGTGGGTAAAACAATCCAGCTTTTAAAGATGAACACAGCTTAAATTGTGCCAACTGTATTTTTTCTGTGACTGAAAAATTTGAACAAAAAAAAGGATTTTTAAATTATGAACCTATAAAACGTTTTAAGATATGAAAATGTATAATTAAATATAGAACCTACCATATTTCAGTGTATATCTCCTTAAACTATCCAAATCATCATTATTAAATAAACCATCCAAGACAACAATTCTTTTGCCAGCAGAAGATTGGAATTCCTGTATATCAATCAAAATGAGAGATTGTCAATGACATAGTCCCTGTCCAGTTTTAGTGATTATCAATTATGAACAATCAAAGATGTACATTGATTATATTTAAAAAGTGGGGAAGTATATATTCAGCATATTAAAAATATGCTGTTACTGTAAAATACTTTATTTTAGCTGGATTTAATTATCGCTGAAAAAACTTTTTGCATGTTTTTCGTGGAATTTAATTTCACAGATTTTTGACGAGTTGAATGTAAAATATAGGAAAACAGGTATATTCGCTTTATTTTATTTTCACTGAACCACTCCTTCAGCGAAAATAGCGAAAATTAATTCCAAGCACAAATAAAGCATTCTACAGTACTTCAAATTATACCTTATGCAAGTTTCATTCAGTCAAATGATGAGATCCTTCTCATATTATCAAGATAAAAGATTGTAAAATCTACACATACATTCATTGAAATAAAATTGCTATCACTTTTAAATTTTAAATGAAGGCTATAAATGTACCATAATGTCCAATCTTATGTTTGTAAAATTTTTAAAAATCTCTACAGGGGGAAATTACAGAAAAACCCCCACAGAAAAATCAAAAGTAAGGAAATTAAAACTAACATGAGTTAAATGTTTTTGCACATCAATTTTTTTCTCCACTGGATTGTCTTTATGTTTTACAAACAATGTCTTTGTAGCTTGTTCAACTTCATTAATCGACTCCCTCCATCTTGATTCACTCTCTATCGCCTTGGTGACATTGGTTGACAATCTTAGATGCAGAAAGTGTTGTCCTTGTTTGAATCCCACACTTGGAGGACGAAATAAATAAGCTACAAAGGAATGAAAATACAAGTTATTTTTTTAAACCAAATTTTGAATTAGTTCAGAAACAAGCAGCCTCTGGGCTGAGATAGCTCCGCTGTTAGCAATGCACATTTCAATTAAAGAACAGAAGATATCATTAGAAAATGAACAATACGCATAGTATCAATGCAATGGGACTTGCTGTTTTCAACAAGAATTCAAAAATATAATTTTTAACCATAAATGATTGAAGAAAATATCACTTTTACCAAAAATGACAAAAATATTCATCAAAATTAGAGAATTGAAGATATCATCATGAAATCAACAAATTTGAGAGTGGTCCATATGTAGTATCTATATACTAGTATGTAATATCAAAGCAATTGGACTTGTCGTTTTTAACAAGAAGTCGAAAATATCACTTTTTACCAAAAATGACAAAAATATTCACCAAAATTAGAGAATTGAAGATATGATCATGAAATGAACAAATCTGAGAGAGGTCTAGCCAAGGTACATATTCAACAAGTATCAAAGCATTCAGGCATGTAGTTTTCAAAAAGAAGTCGAAAAAGTAAAACATTGACACGGACGCCGGACACCGGACGACGCCGGACGACGCCGGACAATCACTCATATGATAAGCTCTGCTCGACAAAGTCGACAGCGGAGCTAAAAAGTGATTTGTCATATAACCAGTACTGCTTAATTGTTGCTGTAGGAATTCTAGTGATTTGGTGGTTTCATGGCATTTACAAAAGTTCTATATTTTAAGATCCCAGATTAATATCCACTGTTAAAATACTTCACAATAGACAAGTTTCTATCAAAATTTGATGATTTTCAATAATATAACTTATTGATGAAAAAACAATTGGTTTTTCTGTCAATTGGCACAATTAATCACATTTGTTTTTAAATTGTTTGGTTTTTTTACATTGTTGGGTTAAATATAGTTAACCAAATTGTTCTGCATTTTTTCTTACATTCTTCAATATTTCTGGAAATGAGCGCTAATTTTGAAGCCAATAGTCACAATTTGAGCTAATTTTCAGTTTTTACTAAAAAGGTTTAGCTACTTTTGTCCCAATCTTCTGAAGGAAAGTGCAGACTATAAGCAGGACAATTTTGTGAATTTGTGATGAAAAGAAAGAACTGGCGGTGAAAAGGTTAATAATTCTAAATTGTCAGTTACTGGAACAAAAAATAACCCATTCGGCCTAAGATGCTGAGAATCCAATCACAAAAACTATGGAGCTAGTCAATAATTTTTGATAACATTCTAATGTGTATATGAATATCATAATTGTTTGTATGTTGCGTGTGACACATACTAATGTGCATTGATTCAAAATGGCTGACAAGTGGCCATCTCGTTTTAAAGAATGCTGTTCTAGAGACATTCTCTGACATTGCAGTCAAACTTTATACCTTATACTGCAAAGGGGTTAATTATTCACTGGGTTTTAATTTTGCTTATTTCGCTGACTGGAAAATGCGCAAAATTAAAACCCAGTGAATATGTAAAATTGAGCATAGAACACATTATCTAAATGATAAAACCGTGAATGTAAAACCCAATGAATATGGCTGAAATGCTAAATCAGTGAAAATTAGTCATTTTACAGTACTCAATAATTGTTGATAACATTCTAATGTGTAAATGGATTGTTTGCATTTTGTAATTGACACATACAATTGTACATTAATTAATATCAGAGCATTCAATGAAATACTTGATATATGTGACAATCAGTTTTAATCACGATACTAAGTCATACCTGTATGATTTCCTCAATTGCTGTCTACCCATTGATTATTATAATGGTAAATTGAACATAGTAAGAAGAAGAAAAGATGATACGAAATTTCTCTAAACTTGAGGTGAACACACAAGCCACTGTGGCATCACTCGGGTTTTAAAAATTATTGCGAAATCAAAGTTTGATGAGAGAGGTGTTTTCGTGACCACAATTACTGTAATAATAGACCTGCTTAGTAACAAGGTTTGCTTGGAAAATCAAATACAACCACACATATCTCAATAAATTATTGATCCGTGTGTATCTAATCATGTGGAATGTTAGAAAGATTTGATATTTTTTTTATGACTATTATTAAGATGTTCCACAGGTAGATACTGTATATGCGAATCAGTTGATGACTTTGGTATCTTTGCGAGAAGAATGCAACATCTAAAGAGAGAGGGCAATTAACAATCTATGACAACCAAATATAGATGTAAAAATCTGCTTTACCAGCATTGCACAGCAACAACTTGTTGGTGAGGAAAACACTGCAGTCGACAATTTTAATATCATCAAAAAAATAAAACAGTAAATATATATTCTAGTGAAACAACTGTTTTCTCAGTATTTTAACGTGTAAGTTATTGGGAATAATTGAGCAGTTTTCAGCAGTTTACAGGATTAAATAATCTCAGAAATGACTTCTTTCATAGAATTACATGATTTAGAGCCTTTTTATAGAAAATAATTCTATAATATCGACATTTCGCCAACTCTTGAGATAACTTTTTGAAAAATGCAGGTTTATTTTGCTGAAAAGCGCCAAAAGTTGACTTTGGTGTAAACACCGTCGAGGGACGGTGGTGTAAACAAAACCTTATCAAAACAAGTAGTTTGAGTCATTCATGGGCTTCTGTTAGAAATGAGCTTTTAAAACACCACTTATAAAATCAATTGGAAACAATTCCTAATTTCAGAATTATGAGCATTTGTGCGTTTATTGACTGTGCGTTTACATGAGGTCAACATGTAATTCTTTTAGCTGAGCTTCTTTGTACTCACCCACACTCGGACCACATTCTTTTGAAAACTTTCAAATATGCCACCGTCTTTTTCCAGGGTTGTCTGTCATTTGTTTTTTTGACCTTTCATATTTTTGTCCTACCCTCACCCGTAGATAGAAAGATTATGTACATGTATGTTAAAAAAGAATTACTCATCAAACTTAATAGCACCCATGATACTCAGCTCCAAAAATCATATCACAGTGGTCGATAGCCATGCTGTATAATATAAATTTCAGGTATTCAAATAATTCAAACAATTATCAAAGACAAATTTTTATGCCTATACATTCAAATTTGAGGCATTTTGAAAGGGATCATGGGTGCTTAGCCAAACATGACCCCGAAAATAGAAATGGTTACTTACCAACAGAACTATCCCATACAACCATTCTTCCAAATTTGGGCTTGACAACAGCTGTGATCTCCATATCTTCATCGTAAAACATGGTCTCACCGTAGTAATTTTTCTTCCATATCTCATTCATGTAAATAACTACAGATATTTCTTTTTCATCTCTGGTTGCATCATGGTGATATTTGGTGACATCACCTCTGAAAGATTAAAATGACCAGTAATTGTGATATTGAACTTTTTTTATTTTAAATATAACCACATTAAATGACCAAATTTTATGGAAATAATGTTTCAGACACCTGCATGGTCATAATACATAAGGGGAATAATCTAAATATAAAATGTGACGTACATACCGGTACTAAGGGTTGAGTAGTCACCATTTCAATGAAATCTGTCATGTGGTGACAAGCACTGAAAATTATGACTCCAGATCGAATATTACAGCCATTTTCGCTTTAAAATCAACTGTAACCTTGTCCTATGCTTTCATCATAATTTTGATATTTGCATTCGAGAGATACATTGTATTTCTATGGATGCAATGAAGTTATTATTATTATGAGGTTATTACGAAGATATCTCAAAGTAAGCACGAAGACAGTACAGCGGGACTATCGACTGACTTGCAGCGAAGGACGATGTGACGACGTACTGTCTGAGTGTATACTTTGAGGTATCCTCGTAATAACCTTATTATTACCCCCCGGTATACATCTTTTCCCTTCAAGGATACATCATGGGAATGCCGAAATCTAAAATGCTACTTTGTGTGGAGTCTGGTCAAACTCTGGTGGCAGCCATGTTTCTTTTTATTATTAGATGACGCTTACGCACGTAATCATTCCATATTTGGAATTTGCATTTTCTTATATGGTAGGATGAAAATACCACGTAAAATACTGCGAAATTACGGCACACTGTAACTTATGGCATTACGGTGACAGATGTATAATAATATTATATATACTCACCGTCTGACTACATTGTCCGTCACTTGATACAAATAGTAAGGTTTGTCACTTCCACTCATCCGTGTGACCATTTGTTGTATGGTCCTACCCATGTCACTCTGTGCAAATTTACTGATATCTTGGTGTGACTTCCATGGTACGGCATTGGTATCATTAGATAAGTTTTCGTTATATGGATCAAGGGGTGTACCATACCTATAATATGAGGATACAATATTGTAAAATGACTAATTTTCACTGGGTTTAAATTTCACTCATTTACCATTTCAGGCATATTCAGTGGGTTTTGAATTCACAATTTTATCACTTAGATAATGTGTTCTACGCTAAATTTTACATATTCACTGGGTTTTAATTTAGTGCGTTTTACAGTCAGCGTAATAAGCAAAATTAAAACCCAGTGATTAATTAACCCTTTTACAGTAATATATACAGTGATCTACACAGAAAAATGACAGAACAAAACTGCATTTTTGTGATGGCAGAGATCGAGTACCAATACAGTACACTATAATATATATGTATATGGTAACTTAGCAACAAATGAAATGTGAAGTTCAGAAATATAATTTTTTGATTTATAAAATAATAGTGCAGCAAAACTGTTTGTGTATTTTGTTTTTATAAGTGCAGGTAGAAAAGTTGCTCAGTTTGTTGAAAATGATTTTGAAACAAATCATTTACATGATATAGTTTCTTTCTTGTGAATAAAACTTAAAAAACTTGAAACGATTAATGCATGTCAATATATTTGGGACATGATGTACTGTAAACTGACTGATTTTCACTGGGTTTAAATTTCACTGATTTACCATATTCAGTGGGATTTGAATTCATGGTTTTATCATTTAGGTAATAGGTTATATGCTCCATTTTACATATTCACTGGGTTTTAATTTAGCACAATTGAACAGTAATATATACTGTCATACATATTCAGCTTGAAAAATGTTTCCTATGAAAAAATGCAGGTTATTCGTTCATACCAAATGCACAAGTTTTTGTTTACTCAAGGTAAACTGTGTGTAAATAATGCTTCATTATTAATCATGATTGTCAAACATGATTACAACAAGTTCAAGTAGGTGTTAATAAGGATTAGCTCCTACGTTTTTCAATTACAAACACCTATAGATAAAATAACCTAACAGCAGTTGGTTCTAAAATAAGAAGAAGGAGGCTCCTGGAATCCATAAGGAAAACTAAAGAAATACAAATGTATCAAAACTGAAATATTAACAAAAATTCATATTTTCCTTCCATGGCAACTGTTATCCAATCACAAATTAATTATCGTTAATCTAAATAACTACAAGAAATAATCTTGCTTAAAGTACAGATTCACAAAATTGCTGTTTTCTCTGCTTTCTACTCTGAATAACTTCAGTTTGTTAATAACCAAACAGTGACTTTGTGAGTATAACACTACAATGTCGCTGTTTGGTTATTCTGGTTGTGAAGAATATTTTGTGGGAATAAGCTCTGTATTTTTTAAATCAGACGTGACCTCACAGTAACACTAAAAATTGTTTAAAACAGTGACCATTTTAGAAAAGATGGAAACAATAGTAGAAAATATGATATTAGCATTTTAATTATGTTTCTCAATTATCGCATCTGAAAAAAACACAATCTACACAAAATAGTGCATTTTTTTCAAAAATTGGGGCTAAAAATATTCTACAGATATATAAGTTTAATAGACCTGTATTTTCTGATTACCTAGCCCTCAACATTTTTTCTAGCAAAAAAATATATCGTGCTACCTCAAACGACAAAGGCTAAACTGAAATAGCTAAACACTTTGGCAAGAATAAAAAAGTCGAAAATCTAGTACACTACACAACTAATTTGTTTTGACGAAAATGATCGACATACGAGGAAACGATAAGAATTATTTTAGCGTCAGCTAAATTTACCCCGTGTACGCGCACGCGATTTCGACCCCGCTGGGAACACAGAATCTCCACATTCACAGACCAGTACACAGAGGTACATAAACCATTAAAAACAAATTGGGTTAAAAATATTATGGCTATGCCATGACCTACTACAATGTATAATTACATGTTGCACTGCAACTCACAGCAACCTCAAGTCTAAAGAAAATACAAATTGGTCAGTCCCTAGGAAATCCTACCAATACAACAACACGCATGAAATTTTACATACCTCCAATATCCAGTCAGAAAATTGTACATAGACAGTGCAAACACGCTCTTGTACTTGAACATTCCATCAAACACGGAAATTTGTCGCCCGTCCGGTGTTTTGTAAAGCCATTTTGGTTCAACGGGTTCTGCGATCACACTCCCGAATTTGTTAGGGTTTTCGAATGGCCACGATTTGGGATCAATCTGCGCT